TCGAAAGGCCTGTTCCTGTGCTGTACTTCTCTTTTGTTCTCTTTATAATGTGGTGGTAGCAGTCACTACACTAACTTTGGAATAGATTTGTTTCCTTCAGCTAAAAATGTTAACCTGTTAACACAAGAGATGCAAAAGTAATACTGTGGATCTTTCATCGGAAGACAGAGTTGATACTGTTGGAATTTAAAATTTCTCTTTCCCCTTCTTCCAAGGACCTTTCCTTGCAAGTTATTGAAAAATGAGCATTCAATTCAGCTGTACAATTTAATATAACAGACTTTATATTTACATTTATAACAACAAAATCTTTCTGATATGAGCTCATTATGACCTTCAGAATTCACTGTTTTCGTGTACCTTGATCGGACATCCCAAAACATTTTCAAATGCTCTGATTTGAGGTGGGTGGTAAAGCTGACACTGATAAAATAATATTTTGCTGTATGCTTATTACTTAAAACAAATATTTAACTATTTTGGTAACAATCAAGGAGATACAATGTTTGCTAAGCTTGAGTGTTCTATGTTTGTAAATTTCTTAACATAGAATGGAAATACATAAATAAATTTAGAATTTATAATTCACCATCCATTGTCATAGAATGTTCTAGGTACTAAAACACTATAAATGCATAACTATTTGGAAAGTGAGAACAATGTTGCAAATTAAGCAGTGTGACTTTTATAAGGCCATGAAGGATCCTGCCAAAGAGATGTCAGGCAGTGGAGAATGCATTCCACTGGCTATTTTATGATTCATTGCTCCGAGATTGGTTTCATTTGAAACTCCTAATCAGCTGATAAATAATTGTTTGGTTTGATGGTGTAGTGAGCCATGCAATGTGCTCAGACCTCTCCATCACCCGCATTGTGGAAGCTGATTCAAATCCAAGCTAGGTAGAGTGATACAGCATGGAAACACACCCTTCTGTCCAACCAGTCCATGCCGAGCATAATCCCAAACTAAACTAGTCCCACCTGCCTGCTCCTGGTCCATATCCCTCCAAACCTTTCTTATTCATGTACTTATCCAAATGTCTTTTAAATGTTGTAATTGTGCCCACATCCATCACTTTCTCAGGAAGTTCATTCCACATTCAAACCACCCTCTGTGTAAAAGAATTTGCCCCTCATGTCTTTTTTTAAAATTTCTGTCCTCTCACCTTAAATATGTTGTGGTAAAAGATAATAATTTTTTGTTCCAAATGGATGTGAAGCCAGCAAAAAACCTATTTGAACATCCAAATAAGTCGTGATATATCTCCAACATTATTTTCCTTCCTTGTGTCTTTGTAACCAGTGGGATTCATTGCTACATAAATGGTCTTCTATAAATGTAAACATAAATTGTTATTATTGCGCGTGCATGGAACTAGATCTCAATTTGGAAGGCCCATTTAGACTTAATTCTTGGACAGTTAAAATGCCAACTGGAAACTGGCTGTGTGGATGATCTAATCTTTCAGAAAATTGTCTTCTTTTGCATGGGAACCACATGTTACAAGGCAAATTGTGTTTACCACAATATTTTCACCCCATTTGTTCTGATTTTTGACAGATTCTTTTAAGATCAAGAGAACTGGAGGAGGAACCGTTTGAGCTTCCAGATGTGGGTGAAACCCATCAGCTCAGCAAGAGTACTTGAGCAGAAATTCAAAACCTCAATGATTTATATTATCTTGGTTCAATGGTCACACCTGCATTCTTAGTCATGAGTTCAAGCTCCACTTTGGTATTCAAATACAGACTAAGCTGTCATAATAGACCTAGTTATGTCCACCATAAGCAGTCATTAAAAGTAATTAACTTTCAGATGAAACATTAAGCCAAGGCCTCATTTATCTGTTCCAGTGATTTAATTAGATGTTAAAAGCTCCAGTGGCACTTTTGAGAGAAAAAAAACAAGAACTCTCCCAATATCCCACAGCATTCAACTCCAGTTTGGTTTAGAAAGCACTGGAAGTAGAAAAGAATGAATCGTTTCAGAAGAAAAAAAAATACAACAAAAGCAAAAGAACCAGTATGTTGAGACAGGTGAAGTTGAGCTATTTGGTCAGAATTTTAATAGCCCTCTTGTGATGGGCTAGGAGAAGGGAGAGCTTGTAAAACAGTGACAGAAGAGAGATGCCTGACATATTCCCATCACCATCAGTGATTGGGAAGGGCAGTTGGGCAGATGCGTATCTACTGGAAGCAGACAGCCAATTAATTCAGTTAATTGGACAATTAACTACCATTTTAAGCTGCTACCAGCAATTTTCCAGCAGTGCAACAATCCCAAATGGATACTTCAACACTCCCAATTGCTGGGGCTTGCCTGGTTAATCATAGCAAATGAAAAAAAAAAATCTCAGAATGAAAATGGTAAGGTCCTGGGGGAGTGTTGCTGAACAAAGAGATCTTGGAGTGCAGGTGCATAGTTTGTTGGAAGTGTAGTTGTAGTAGACAGGATAGTGAAGGTGGTGTTTGGTATACTTGCCTTTATTGGTCAGTGCATTGAGTGTAGGAGTTGGGAGGTCATGTTGCAGCTGTACAGGACACTGGTTAGGCCACTCTGAGTATTGTGTGCAATTCTGGTCTCTCTCCTATAGGAAGGATGTTGTGAAACTAGAAAGGGTGCAGAAAAGATTTACAAGGATGTTGCCAGGGTTGAAGGATTTCAGCTACTGGGAGAGGCTGAATAGGCTAGAACTATTTTCCCTGGACCATCGGAAGCCGAAGGATGATCTTACAGAGGTTTATAAAATCACGAGGGCCATGGTTAGGGTAAATAGGCAAGGTCTTTCCCTTGGGGTAGGGGAGTCCAAAACTAGAAGGCATAGGTTTAATGTGAGAGGGGAAAGATATAAAATAGATCTCAGTGGCAACCTTTTCATGCAGAGGGTGGTGCATACATAGAATAAGTTGCCATAGTAAGTGGTGGAGGCTGGTACGATTGCAACACTTAAAAGGCATCTGGATGGGTATATGAATGGGAAGGATTTAGAGAACTATATGGGCCAAATGCTGGCAAATGGGACTAGATTTATACAGTATGAATGATTTGGACCGAAGGGTCTGTTTCCGTGCTGTATATCTCGATGACTAAGTCCCCTCTTCTTCTCTCTGATCCTCGGCAGTGATGACCTGAATTGTGCCATCCCGGCAAGCTACAGGTTTTCAGGCTGTTCAACTGGGCGGGTGTGGATTGGCCGCTTATCCTGAAGTGGATTGTCCTCAATTCATGTAAAATTTTGCCCTCTAGAATAGAATAGCTATCCATGGCTCTCTAAACAATAACGTAGATGGAACATGTTTCAAATTTCAAAGTCTGCTACTTGTGCTGAATTCAGAATCAATCTTAATCTCTTTGTTAGCCTATTAAGGGCTATCTGAGACAAACCACTCCATCAAAATGTTAAACATTCCACTCAAATCGGTACTTCTGATCAGTCAAACAGAACAGTACCCTGTAGCTGAAGAATTACCCAAGGCTAGTTCACAATCAAATCTCTAGTTCATTACTTTGGGCTTTTGGGTGAGTTTCCTCTCATTACCCTACCAGCTGAAGATATTAAATGAAATCCCTGTGACAAGTGCCTAAGGTACTAGCTTTAAAGGCAGTCAGAGTTGGTAATTAAAACATAAGCAGTGAAGGAATTGCCATTTATTTATAATGGCTAGTTCAGCTAGTAACCAATTTAATTTGTAATGTCAATCATTGTAATCTTAAAATCATGAACCACTTTTAAGACTACAGGCTTAGTTTTTTGAAGCTATATAGATGATCCCAGAATGGAGAGGCTGCAAACTATCAGGAAACATGGAACAGGCAGGGGATCTTTTATTGAGGGAATTGATGGCTGGGACTAGTACTTAATAGAGGAGTTTAAAATTCTGGGGAATCTGGTATGTCAAGAAGAGGAAATGTTTCTACTTGTAGGATAATCTCAATCTAGGGGTTATAAAAAGAAGATAAACAGAGTAAATATATTGAAGATAATTCAACAAGAAATTTCAGAGAAAACTCTTTACCCAGACAGGAGTTAGAGTGTGGACCTCACTATACAATATGGAGTAAATGAGGCAAATAATATACAAGCATTTGAGGCATCCTAAATAAAAAATACGGTAGAGAGGTTTCAGAGGTTATGGTTTGAAAGGTTGGAAGAAGAAAGGTGGTAAGAGGATTTTGTGAACCATAAATATCGAAATATAGCAGCTAGGCTAAAGCATGTAAATACTTTGTAATTCTTAGTAGTGTAATAGAATTTTGAGTTATTGAAATCATTTGCGAGCATTTGAATTTATTGTGAATGTGTCAAAATGTTGCATTTTTATACGTAAACACATGAAATGTTCAAAAATTAAAAATTGCATCCAACATTTAAATAATATATCTGAAATTTCTCTACATCAGAGGCTTTAAAAGTATGCTTTGATATGAAGAGAGACAAGAATGGCATTAAATAAATACACCAAAGATGCAAAAGAATAATGCATCCAAGTGTTTTAGTTTTGCATGCATCATAAATAGGAACATTGGAAACTAACTTTTATCCTCAACACTTCATCTTATTATCCAACTCCTCATGTTCAAACACAGCCTTCGTCATGTCACACATTATCCTCTCTAGTCTGAGCTGCTTGCTGCATTAATACTCATTCTTTCCTATTCAACATGACGTATGCAACAGCACCAGAGAAATAGATGTTCCATTGATGTTTTTTAAATATATAGCAAATCGTTCGTAATCAAAAAAGAGAAAAAAAAAGTTTCATTTTAAATTAGACCCTGAAACAGAACTGATAAAAGATTTTGCACAATGTAAAGAAGAAATATTAGTGATTTCAAGCATTTTAAAACTTTTATTTCAGTATTCACAGTTATCCTTTTATCTCACCAGTTGTAAATTTTTGCAGAATGAAAATTTTGCAAGTTCACAATTCTTCCTGAAGATCATTTCTATCTCAATTTAAAAGACACTAAGAGAAAAATGCTTGTTAGTTTTCCGTACCTTGTGACTTCTTGCTGAAGTCTTGAGACACTGGGTACGTAGAACATCACTCCAAAGAAGAGGAGAGGCTCATTGGCAAATTTGTCGAGTTGTTTTTTTAGGGCTTTTTCTAGCTCCACCCATCGTCCCTGTTGGGTCTTACTGAGGAACCACAGTCCAAAATAATGTGTCTGGCGGAAGAAACAAGAGAGTAATAAGAGAGCTAAGTATTTCTACAACCCTAAGAATCTCTAAACAGGAAATCAAAAAGCTTCACAACATATAGTTTATTTGTATTAATTTGAAGTCATTTTCTCATGAAATTAAATAATTTGAATTAAATATGCAATGACACAACAGAGCGCGTTTACTGCTGAAAAATTAATCTCTGGATAATTTAATGGGTCTTGAATCAAGAGATCACAAGCAAGGATTCCCTTTACTTTCCCAGATGTGTCACTGAGCAGATTTGTTCTTCAAGTGATAAAGACATGAAAACACTGACAACACCAGGCAGAAGCTGACTTCCTTCAAAATAGAAGTCAAAACCATACATATTTCACAAAAATCTCAGCTATTTCATTTAATGAACTGTTGAGCACGACTTCAAATAAACTATAATTACAATTTTGAGATACTTTGTAGCATTCTTCTGTATTTTCATATATACTCTGCAGGTTTACCTGAGAACCACCAAAATGGCAAAAGTTCAACAATTTTTTGTTTTAAGAAGAGAGTTTTAAATTGTACAGTTACAAGGACAACCGAGTACAGAATAACCATCTTATCAAGTATTTTTGTTCTTTTTGCATGGCCCAATTTAAATGCAGCCCAAGTTTGCAGTTTTAAAACAAAGACAGGCTGAGCTTCAGCCAGCAGTTCGGAGATGATCCCACCTTGGCCTCCTCCTCAGGTTCCTAGCATGATAGATACCAGTCTTCAGCCAATTCAATTTATTCCACATGACATCAAGAAATGGCTGAAGGTACTGGATACTCCATAGGCTGTGGATCCTAACAACATTCTGGCAATAGTACCGAGGATTTGTGCTCCAGAACCAACTGTGCCGCTCCCCTAGCTATTACAGGGTAGCCACAATACTAACAGCTACCAAACAATGTGAAAAACTGCCCAGATACATTCTGTCCACAAAATCTGAAGCAAATTCAACCTGACCAGTTTCCAGTCCATCAGTCTATTCTCAATCATCAGCAAAATGATGGAAGGTTGACGGTGTTGCTGGCTAGGCCAGCATTTATTGCTCATTCTTAAAGGCCCAGAGGGCAGTTTAGAGTCAACCACATTACTGTGGGCCAGATCAGATAAGGATGGCAATTTCCTTCCCAAAAGGACATTAGTGAGCCAGATGGGTACAACAATCAGCAATGGGTTCATGGTCATCATTAGACTCGTAATACCAGATTTTTTAAAATTGAATTCAAATTCCACCACCTGCCCTGGTGGGATTCAAATCTGGGTCCCCAGATTATTACCTGGGTCTCTGGATTAACAGTCCAGCAATAATACCACTAGGCTGTCACCTCTCCTTATCGGTGATGCTCTATGGAAGTTTAAAGAATTGGGCCTTTTGAGCCCTCCTATTACTCTAGACCTTGTTCCACCTTTTGAGATATCCACAAGTTGGAAATAGAAATAGTAAGGTGTCGTAACTTTCTGTACTACATCATCTCCCCTCTGACATAATAAGCTCTCACTGGTCCAAACCAGAGTTGCTTCTGTACTGACTACATTCCTTTCTCAATCGCAAGGTCTTCCCACTCATTTCCTGTTGCCACCTCCTCAGGCCTCTTTCAAAAGAAGAGTGTCATTGCTCATTAATCAGCTTTTCTGCTGCTCAAGTTATACTCAAAAGGAAATATTGCCTCCAAAACAATCGAACCTATATATTTGAGACTTCTTGCCTCAGTGGAAAATAACGCTAAAAACAATCAACTTCATAGCTAGTTGTCTCACACAAGCAAATAACCAAGATACAATTAGTTGAAAGTCATTGGAAATCTGGCAAGAGTTCATTTTATGTTTTGCAACTCAGCCACAGTTCAAGGCATTGGAAATTCCTTTTGACAGTCTCTACTATGAGGCTTACTGATGTCAATTACATTTTACAGTATGTCCCATCATAATTCTTGCAAAGCCAGCCTCAGCATGTGACTTTTCTCCTGCAGCCAACATTTTATCAGCACTCATGGAAAAATGGTTAAAGGCACCAGTTTAATGGGACATATCATAATCAGCTCCAAAATGGTGAAGGGCACTTTTTTCCCCTGTTAAATACTGTATTAGAAAACAAAATCCTGAGACAGTGCTGGGCTGATTGATTGAAGCTTTGATGCAGAGTAAAGGTAACATTTCATTAAGTGAGTGGAGGTAACATATTGCCTATGCACAAATATTGTTCTTGCTGGTTTTGCCAGAGAGTTGGTAGAACATATTTGCTTTAAGATACAAATGACATCATGTTGACTACATTTTGCACTTCTAAGTAAAGCGAGGACACTGACTACTTTGGGACCTTAATTATAAATAAATATTGTTCCATTTGAAAGGGTCCTTTCTGATGTTTTATTATGCAATCCTTTGAAGTATTTCCAAATCATTCCCAAGGAATTCTTCATGTAATCTTATTCCATTATCTAAATACATTAACAGGTAGCACAGTCATGCGCTTCTAATTTATTTTCATAGGACCACATTATCAGCCTGAGATTGTTTTTAATTGATTCAAGAACTGTTGGAAGCAGTTAATATCAGATTTTAAAAAGGTAAAGCATTTTATGTAATGCTGGGTGCAGACAGTTGCTAAAACCTACCTGTGCAAGGTTAAGTACACTCTTTATTTACAAGGACTTGTGCTTAGGTTTCATCTTAATACACAAGTTGTTTATTTTAGCCGTGACCTACAATCTGTTACATTCATTGAAGTTTGCATCTACCTGAATGGTTTCTATTATTCTCATTCCTGACATTTTATTTTTTCTCTTTTCTTTGTGTCTGTCTTTCCCTCATTCCATACTTTCTTATTATCCTTGATATTCATTTTATCCTTTCTCAAAAGTGGTGCTTGTGTTTTAAGTTCACAAGCAGAAGTCTGTTTTCTTTTAACTCCTGCATTCAGTATTTCCACTTTTAAACCACAGCTGGTATTCATTTCTCACCATGGCATTTGTTTTCATGTCAATCCAGATTTTTTTTCTCTAAATTTCTTGCTCTCACTATTTGGGCTTTCATAATGGCACAGTGCATTTTTTTCAACCATTACCTCTTTCATCCCCATAATGTTCAAAAACATCATGATCATTTGGCTCATATTTAGTCTCAGTAGAGGAGACATTTCATCCAATTAAGTATGGCGAAGATCACTATTTTAAACCCTTTGCCTCTGACTTCATCCCTCATCCTGCTCACTAATGGAGGCTGAATCAAATTGTTTGTAATTTTGGCATCTGACATGACATTGAGCCAAGTTTCTGATGACAAATGCTCTCAAACACCAGAACTGCCTACTTTCAACTCCATCTCTGCCCTTTCTCCTACAGCCAGACCTGATATTTCCAATGCCCTCACGGTTGGGTCTTCCGTTGGCCATAGCATGGTGGATTTATCTAAAACTCTGTTGCTTTTTTGGGAACTTGTTCCAAGTCCCACTCACCAGTCTCTGCCATGGTCCAGCAATGCTGCAAACGTCACAATTTGCCTTGATGCAAATTCCTCAATAACATCACCCTTCCTCATCTCCACAACCTCTTCCCTCTGACAACATTTGCGTTCTCTGCATTCCTCAGTTAGGACTTTAGTGTATTCTCTATGACATTGCTCTATCAATGGTTGTTGTGCATTTAGCTTCCTCAATCCCAAAATCAGAAACCTACCTCTTGGACTAAGCTTTTCTTAATATCTGCGAAGGAAGCTACAAAGCAAGGTGATTTTTTCCTACACCAGAGAGACTATATAACTGCAATGTCATTTCCATTCTAGCCCTGCTTCAAAGTTTCACTATCTAACTTTTAAGCGTTTTTATTTCCACTTTTAGGGCTAGATTTCTCCTTGGCAATGGTAAGGGGCGGAGGGAGGGGGTCTGCCACCCTTCCCGTTATAGGAGAAAAGTCATTCACTGGGTTTTTCACAAGGCTGTGCTCTAAACTATCAGGAAGACAGATTCTACATCCAATTAAGGAAGGCAGTCGGGGTCTAAAAGTTGGACAGCCAAGCAGAAGTCTTCCAGCTGGACAGGAATGGCAGGCTGTAATGGAAGGCAAGGAAGGGATAGGGTGCTCCAAAAGAACAGCACCTCTCTCCAAAGATGTAGAGCTGGATGAACACAGCAGGCCAAGCAGCATCATAGGAGCAGGAAGGCTGACGTTTCGGGCCTAGACCCTTCATCAGAA